ATGTGCGTGAGTATATGTCTTGCGTGGAGGTAAGTGTACCCATGTCATGCAATGCCCTTGGAGGTCAGAAAAGGGCATTGGATTCCCCTGAGACTGGAGTTATAGATGGTTATTAGTCACCATGTGGGTGCTAGGAATTGAACCTGGGGGTCTTCTGCGAACATCCAGTGTTCTTAACCACTGAGCCATCTCTCCAGCCCCAATAAATAAAATCAAAATAATAAATAAAATATTTTTTTTAAAAAAACCAAGTCATAGCTTTAGCCACTGAGCCCTTTTAATTTAGCTAAATATTGTAAAGAAAGAACCAGAGAAGAAAAATAGTCATCTCTATTTTCTTTAATAGGTTCTGAACGATCTGGAATGCCATGGAGTTGCTATATCGGAACAAAGTCGAGCAGAGCTGGAGCAGAAAATAGATGAAGCTAGAGAAAATATCCGTAAAGCAGAGGTAAAGTGGCAGCCAATTGTGACGTTCTGCCCAGTTCTAATCACAGTGTCACAGCTGTGATATGTACCTCTGAAACTAAGTTTCTACATATGTATTAAATTGAAGACCATGTCCCGTCTTTGTGTCCATAGGGGTATTTTTTTAAGGGTTTTTTACTTTTTTATGTGTATGAGTGTTTTACGTATGAGTGCCTGCAGCACTGAGAACAAAAACTCTGAACCTGCTATGAAAAGTCCACACTCACAAAACATTAAATAGCAAAAGAATTGTCACAAATTAGATGTTAAAGTTTTCATAAAGTAAGTAATAAATCAGTCAACTTAATGGTACAGAAATTGACATATTTATATTTAGAACCTAAAAAAAATAAATCTTCATGTGGAAGGTTCCTCAGATCAAGAGGCACGAACAAAGAGGCTGGAGAGATGGCTCAGTGATTAAGAGCATTGACTGCTCTTGTAAAGGACCCTAGTTTGCACATGGTGGCTAACAGTCATTAGTAACTCCAGTTCTAGGGGATCCAACATCCTCTTTTGGCCTCCATGGGCATTGCACGCATGTGGTGCACTTGTAAACATTCAGGCAAAACACTCATAAGTGTACAATAAAAACTGATGAATCAGCCGGCACACACCTTTAATCCCAGCACTTGGGAGGCAGAGGCAGGCCAGCCTGGTCTACATAGTGAGTTCCAGGACAGCTGGGGCTACAGAGAGACACTGTTTCAAAAAGACCAAAAAAAAAAAAAAAGAGAGAGAAACTGATGAATCAAAAAGAAATTAAGGCCTAGAGAGATGGCTCTGCAGTTAAAAGCACTGGCTACTCTTGTCAAAGACCTGGCTAGCAATTGACTATAACTACAGTTCCAGGGGATTCAACACCCTCTTCTAACCTTCATAGGCACTGCTTGACACCAGTGCACTTACATACATGCAAGCAAAACACTCATATACATAAAAATAAACAATTTTTTAATTAAACAAAAAGAAGGGCAAAAAACACACATAATAGTGGATTTTAATATTTTTTGAAGGCATGGACCTTTTAAGGGTTATGTGATAGCTGTGAAACCTCTTCCACAAAAAAGAACATATGCCAATGATGAATTCCCTCTGCCCTAGAAAGGGAAATCAAAATGAGAAGCAAGGATGTGGTAGAAAAGAAGGAGCACATAGGGCTGGAGAGAGGGCTCAGCAGTTAAGAGTACTGACTGCTCTTGCAGAGGACCCAGGTTCGATTCCCAGAACCCACATGGCGGCTATGAACCATCCTTAACTCCAATTCCAGAGGAACCTGAAGCCCTCTTCTGACCTCCGCGGCGTTGCATGACACAGGTGCACTCATGTACATGCAGGCAACATACTCATACACATAAAATAAAAAAATAAATAAAATATATTTAAAAAAGAAAAGAAGGAACACACAGAGTGTAGTTTGGCAGTTGGAAATGATAAAAGAGGATGGTACCAGCAAGGAAGTGCAGTTGTAGAAAGGATATAAACTAATTGTGGTTAAGGCCAGTTCACCCATCACTGCACCCATGTGCAAAGAAACCCAGGCAGACTCAAAAACAACCCACTGAGATTATGTTCTTATTAAGAAGGCACAGAAGCAAGGATTCTGAGCTCTATAAAGCACAGATGTGAAGTAGTCCACACAGAGAACCAGAGGAGCACTGAAGGGAAGGGGCTGTCAGGGCAGAGGTGGGGTTTACATTGAGTAGTGGTGAATAAGTAGTCTTTGATTACTGAGAGCAAAAGGAATAGCACACATTTGTGCCATGCTACCTCAAGAAGCAGAATTTGAACCAAAAGATGAAGATTGGAAGGAGACAGTTTTGAGTTTGGTGAGGAAATGTTTTTTCAGTGGTCAGATATATACCTCTGGGGACATAATGCAGTACTATACATGACAAAAAGATTTTAGGTGAGCCAGGTTCAGTGAGAGGCCATTTCTAAAATAAGTGGGCCTGGCGTGGTGGCCCACTTTAATCTCAGGCACTCTGGAGGCAGAGGCAGGTGGATCTCCTGAGAGTTACAGGTCAGCCAGGGATACATAGTAAGACTCTGTCAATAATGATAATAATGTATGTAATAAAGTATAATAATAAAATAATTGATAAAATGTAATAAAGTATAATTAAATAATAAAGCTGAACAGCTAGGCATAATTTAATGCCTCTCAGATAATGACTAGGTGTGCATAGAGTGCTTAAAGGACCGGAGACCAGAGAGAAGGATTTGATTAACTGCCCAAGGAAGGAGACTAGTTAGAAAAAGCTTCATAGAGAGGGTGGCAGGCATCACCAAGCATGCCTAGCAACCTGCATAGAAAGACTGGCATCAGCAGGGCATGAAAACACATGAGGTACTAAAGAAGTGTAGTGGTGTGGGAGCACATAGGGTATGGCAAGACATTGAAGGAAATATTTCCATCAAAGTGTGAACGATACTTTACTCCAGATTAAAAATTAATTTCTTTACTCAATAAGCAATCCAGAGTTGTGGAAGTTTAAAGAAGAGGAGTAACATGATCAAGCTGTTCACACACTGTAAAAGATGGATTATGAAGGGGAAAAATTCAGGGTTAAGAGAACGTTACCGAAAATGGATTTCAGGATGTTCTGAGCCACTCTTATTAGCAGAGAGAAGACGACTTTATGGCATTCTCATCTTTTCTTACTTGTAAGTTATGTTTGATGTACCATCAGTACTGTGGTCTTGCTGAGTAGTAGACTACATGTGCAGCATGCACAAGGACCTGAGTTCACTCTCCAGCATCTAAGTCAGTCAGTCGTCAGTCCGTTAGATACAAGTATGCCAATATGCCATCTGCCATTATCAAGGAGGCCCAGTTCTTGTGTGTACATTCCTCTCTTCTCTCACCTCTGTGTGTGAAAAACTAGAATCTAACAATTGCTGGTGAATATCGAGATTGTTAATAAGTGGGAAATAACCTAATTGGTATGAGGGGAAATTGCCTTGATCCAACCTTTTTGTTTTGTTTTCTTAGATAATTAAGTTAAAAGCTGAGGCCCGGCTGGACCTCCTGAAGCAGATTGGTGTTTCTGTGGACACATGGCTGAAGAGTGCCATGAACCAAGTAATGGAGGAGCTGGAAAACGAGCGGTGGGCCCGAGCTCCCCCTGTGACCAGCAACGGCACTCTACACTCGGTACGATTTCTTTTATTGGATGTGGTGCTGACTGGCCGTCACTATTGTGTGACTCTTCAGCCAAACCTAGTGAAAATTTAAGATAAAAGGTAGTGGTTTGAAGTGTCTTTTTTTTTTTTTTTTTTTCCCTTCAGTCTGTCACTTTAACTTAGTACAGGAAAGGGAAGAGAGAGGAGAAAACAATTTGTTAACATATTTTTAATGCAATGAAAAATATGTTATCAGTAATTGAGTTATAAGTGCCTGTGCCCCAGACTTATTATTCCAGTTATACAGTAAATATGCTTCTTAGCTGAAAGTAGCAGAATAGAAAAATGTGGTGTTTCTGAAATTCTCGGAAGTCTTTAGTGAAATGAACATCTACAGAGTTTTGAAATATCTTTGAAAATATAGGGTCAGTCAGTAAGGTGCTTACCTTGCAAGCATGAGGACCTAAATCCAGTCCTCAGAGCCTACATAAAAAAGCCAGGTGTAATCCCAGTGCTAAAGAGATAGAAATGGGCAGCCACCCAGCCTAGCAAGCCTAATCAGCTACTCCCTGGACAGTGAGAGACGCTCTCATCAAAGTGGATGGCATCTGAGGGATAATGCCCAAGGTTGGTTTCTGGCCCCCACATGTACCTGCGAGTATGTGTATGCTTGTGCGCACACACACACAAATGTAGGCTTAGTCTAAAGGTGCTGTTAGTCATCAGGCCTCTCCTATTCTCACAATAAGCCATTGTAGGTAGGACTTGACAGGGAATGCCAGCATACACACTGCTTCCTTACTTCAAGCACAGGGCACTTGCCACGCTGGTGTCTTCTAATCTAGCCTTAGTTTGTCATAGTGGAGACCTAGGTACCAAAAATGTTAATGATTTCCCAGGTACTACACAGGTGGGAATGTGATGCACACTGGTCAGACTAAAGTAATTCCTGTTGCCATCTCTCCTCTCTCTACTCATTACTCTGTTTTTCTTTTTTTGCTTCTTTCTTTGTTTTGTTTTTGTTTTTGTTTCTTTTCTTTTATTTCTTTCTTTCTTTCTTTTTTTTTTTTTTTGAGACAGGGTCTCCCTGTAGCCCCCCCCATCAGGCCTAGAACTTTCTATGTAGACCAGGCTGGCCTCAAACTCACATAAATCTGCCTGCCTCTGCCTCCCAAGTGCTAGGATTAAAGGCATATGCTACCACACCAGGCTTGTTTTGATATTTTAAAATGTTTTATTTTTATTTTATGTATATGAGTGTTTTGCCTACATGTATAGACATATACAATATCCACATGCATGCAAATTCACAGAGGCCAGAAGAAGGCGTCACATCCCCTGGAACTAGAGTTACAAATGGTTGTTAGCTACCATATGGGTGCTGGGAACTGAACCCAGGTCTTCCAGTGCTCTTAACTTTTGAGCCATCTCTCCAACCCCTTGTTTGTTTTCTTAATGGTATTTATCAGTCTCTGTTTCTCTTTTGCTTATTATCCATGTCTTCTTCTCTGGAATGTAATTGCCATGTGTTCCTGGTTCCTGCTCCACACAGCAAAATGCCTGGTATACAGTAGATACTCAGTAGGTATTTGTTGAAGGAAGAACTGAGTGGTTGAATGGAAGGGCAGAATAGTGGTAAATTAAAATTAGTGTACTTCTTTTTTTGCTCTTACCCCCTACCTCAGGGTCTCCCTGTAGTCCCAGTTGGTCTGGAATTTGCTATGTAGACCAGACTGGCCTCAAATTCACAAAGATCCTCCTGCCTCTGCCTCTGCCTCTCAAGTGCTGGGACTAAAGGCATGTTCTACCATGCCTGGCTATTAGTGTTCCTCTTTAATGCTTATGCCCTTCATATGTTAGGTATTATTCTTACATAGATTGGCCATAGTTTTAAAACATGCCTGCAAGTTTTGTCAGTTTTTTTACATAGCATTCTGATTTTCCAATGGGAATATATTTCCAAATTTATATATGTATGTGTATATATATATATATAATTTTTATTTCTATGTGTATGAGTATTTTTGCCCGCGTGTAAATAAGTACATCATGTGCATGATGAGGACATCGGATCCCTTGGAACTGGAGTTATGGACAATTGTTAGCCACCTTGTGAGTGCTGGGAACTGAACCTGGGTCCTCTGCGAGAGCCCCTGGTATTCTTAACTGCTGAGCCATCTCTCCAGTCCCCATTTACACACTGAAAAGAATTGTATGGGCATGCACATTTTAAGGTAAAAAACAGTCTGTTAAAGGTTTATTTTTATTGATTTCACTATTAATGATAATCTGGGTTGGGTGATTAGGACACACATTATACACTTTGGGGTTAGAAGAGCTTGTCCTTGTCATTGAAGTAGAGATGCTACATCTTCCTACCATGTCTAAGTATCTGCTTTATGTTGTTCCAATGCACAGTCTATGATGACAGCAAATTCCAGGCACAAACTTGCTTTGAGCTCTCCAGCAGCCCTGCTTCCACTCAACCAAACCTGCAATTTACTGTCCTTGGGCTAACACCTTTCCCAGCTGATCACCTGAACAGACATATGTCACCTGATTTTTGCTTCTTTTTGGACATATTACAGATGAGCACAACTTGGTCTCTCCAGTGTTTACCAGCTGGGAGAGTAGACAGACCTTTATAGATCTTAGTGGTACATGGCAGTATATGAATAGGCTGCTGTGTGGCACACTTGGAAGTTGCTTACTTCTCATTGATCAGCACACCTTGGAAAAAGTCACTCAAAAGTCACCCCTCTCTGGATTTCTTAGGGAATACTAAATTAACTGACTCTAAGATCCTCTCTAATCCCCAAATCTCCTGATCCTGTGACATGCTATCAGAAAATGTCAGTACCAGTTAGGGAAGAGTTTGCCCCATGAGGAAAATGTCATTTGAAGTAGCCCTTGATGGATTTTAATAAGAGTTAAAGCAGTGCTGGAAAGACAGCTCTGCAGTTAAGAGCACTGGCTGCTCTTCCACAGGATTAGGATTCAGTTCCCAGCACCCACATGGCAGCTAACAATTGTTCATAACTCCAGTTCCAGGGGATCCAGTGCCCTCCAAGGGCATTGCACGTACATCATGCACTTACATACATACAGGCAAAACACTCATACACATAAAATAAAAATAAATTAATTTCAAAAGAAAAAAGAGAATGAAAAAGATAATGCCTAGGGACTTCCAGGCATGAGATCATCAGGATGTGTCAGACTCTGGAAAATGGCATTCTGCAGTCTCATCTAACCTTTTCCTCCCCTCTAGCCAGTCTTAGAAAGCTTGTGCATTCCCTTTCAGCTTAGAGGTTGTATTTTATGGAAAATCTACCAATTGTGTTAATATAGGAAAGCTAGAATCACAAAATAGCTTGATAAGGCCCCAGTATTTATTTAAATGTACATATTTATATTTTTTTAGATTTTTAAAAAAGATTTTAATTATTATTTTTATTTTATGTGTGTGAGTGTATAGATTGCATGTATGTAAGTACATCTGTGTCTTGTAATGTCTACAGAGGTCAGAAGAGGACATCAGATCCCCTGGAACTAGAGTTGTTAGCTTCCATGTGGGTGCTGGGAACTGAACCTGGGTCCTTTACAAGAACAGCCAGTGCTCTTAACCACTGAGCCATCTCTCCAGCCCCCAGATTTATTATTTTTATCATTACATATGTGCATGTGTGTGTGTGTGTGTATTTTACCTGCATGTAAGTGTATCTGTGCATGCAATACCTAAGGATGCCAGAGGAGAGCATCAGATTGAGCAACCCTGCTGGGACTTGAACCCATGTCCTCTGTAAGAGCAGTAAGTACTCTTAACCACTGAGCTGTATCTCCAGCCCCCTAGCCTTCTTTTAAATGACATTGAAATCATTTACAGAGGTTTGTATCCCTTCACAGAGACAGCTAGCAGCTAAGGAACTTGAAACAGAAATACACATTCTTGTGACCAAATATTTTTTCCATTGTAGATGCCAACAAAAGCATTAGTCATCTGGAAAACATGATTAATTTTACTGTTAGATATTAACGGTATTTTCTAAAAAGTGCCTTATGGAAGATGAATGTTTTTAAATGGTATAGTCTATTTGCCTTAGATGTTAACTCTGCCTTCTGTCTTATGTTGTCATACAAAATATAGGATTGGGAGGAGCAAAGAAGAGTGTAGTGTGACCCTATTTAAAAAGAGAAAATCACAGGACAAAGTGGCACATGCCTTTAAATCCAGCACTTGGGGGCAGAGGCACATGGATCTCTGAGTGTGAGGCTAGCCTGATCTACATAAAGATTTCCAAGCCACCCAGTGAGACTCTGCCCCCACACACACACAAAAAGAAAGAAAGAAAAGAAAAAGAGAGCATCTACTGTTGTCTATTTCATTGTTGGATAATTGGAGACTATACATGGCTACATGAGGCTGGGTTACTGACAGTGACCCATGAGCCTTTAAATAGCTCATCCCTCCCTTCTCCTACTTTCTTGCCTTCTCATGCCCAAAACTCATACCCAGTTTACAGTCTTACCTTTGAAATTATAGTAATTATCATAATTAAGTTAATTTTGCATATTTTTTCTAATATTCTTTATCACTGGATAATCTTCATAATCATCCTCTTAGAATCTGTGTGGTCATTTTATGTAACATTTTCATACATTTGATCATCCATCTAACTGGGTTTCAAATTCATGGATTCAACCAACCACAAATCTAAAATTTTTTTTAACTGCATATGAGCCAGGCTTGGTGGCACATGCCTTTAATCCCAGCACTCAGCATGAGACAGAAGACAGAGTTAACACCTAAGTATAGCTCTGTAAGACAGGTGGATCTCTGTGAGATTGAGGCCAGCCTGCTCTATATAGTAAGTTCAAGGCCAGCTGGAGCAACAGGAAGACCCTGTCTTAAAAAACCCAAAACAAACAAAAACAATTGCTACCATATTACCATAAATTACCTACCATATACAGACTTTTTAAAAAATATTTTATTTTTATGTGTATGAGTATTGCCTGCATATATGTAAG